CACATCATTCTGCTCGGCTTCAGTCCTTGCCACGTCCTGAAGAACGTGCGCAACCATTTCCTGGAGCGACAGAGACAGCTTACGGATGGCTCAAGTGTGATCAGTGGCACCTTCGTACAAGAGCTTTACAAGAGCTTTACGAGTACCAGAAAAAGATGACAATCAAGCTTCCAGAAATTTGACGAGAAAGCACGTCTACTCTACAAACCTGGGGAAGATTAATCTACTTCGTGTGGTTCAGATCTTCTCCCCACAGGTTTGTGCAGCACTGCAACACCTCGAAAAAAACTCCTGCAATGACCCTGCACTCTCCGCATTTAGGCAAGCAAGTTCCATCGTGCACTTTATGAGGACAATGAAATATTGGTTTGATATGCATGACAGCTCTTTCGGGGGAGCGGGGCAGAAGGCACCCATTGCAGACGTGGACGATGGCCGGCTGTTGTGGCTAGAAAACGACTTCACGTGCTATGTAAAGAAAGTACAAGCAAGCTCAGTCGCCTCTGGGAACGGCGCTTTCACCGGCGAAGCGTTCGAGGCCCTGCTTTTCCCTACAGTCCACAGTGGAAACAACTCGATACCTCCGAACCCAAGGCATCAACTAGGTGCTTACTAGGAAGCTAAACAGCGACCCCATAGAAACAGTATTTGGCCGAGTCAGGTACGTGTGCGATGGAAACGACATGCTCGACGCCCGGGCTCTAACGGCTGCTTTGGACCAAATTGTAAAACCCAAGTTTGCAAGGCCACCTGAAGTCATGACGTGCGGCACTGATGTTGACAACTTGGTCAGTAGCCTGTCGGTGACATTCTCTGACGACCTGAAAGAGCTTAAGGAATGTACTTCCACTCCCCCGCGGTCTGTGACATGCTCTGGTTTGGCCTACGTTGGAGGTTACATCGCGAAACTAATCACTGACTTCGGGTGCGAATCTTGCGCCATGCTCCTCACTACAAGCGACAAAGATCAGCCACTGTACACGCTTTTGAGAGGCCCGGACACAAGCGGGCTTGCCGACCCAAGGCCAGAGTTCTCTGCACTTTTAAATGGGATTGTCACATTCTTGAAGAAGATAGCAAAACACCTGCCACGCACGCATGTTCTCGAAGTTCTACAGCTGCTCGTAGAACCGCATCTGGACGTACCTCTGCTGAACTGCCCCGAAAGTGTTGACAATAGTCACGGAAGACGGTTAGCAAGTTTGATTGCTGACAAATTCTTCAGGATCCTTTTAGTGAATCACTCCACTCGAGTCAGCGACGACAAAGAAAAGCGCATGAACTATACACATAAGCCATCGAGGAAGCACTTCCGACTGTACAGCTTCTCCAGCTCGAACAACGTTTCTTTTGTGCAATACCGTTTTGTCACGCCGAAGATAATTTTTCTGGCGCTTGAACAGGGGAACTCCATTATTTATGTGTTCAAACTGTGCTTTTTACTGCTTACTTTAGTGTAATGAAATCTTCTAGAGTTAATTGCCGAATGTTTACTTGCTAGCTTCGGACAATCCCCTGTGCTGTTGTGCATACTATAGTAAGGTCTCATTGTTTCTCTCCAAATAAACTCGTTTCCAATTTGCCTGGTACCTTTCAGTTCACAGATTATCCCCGATGTTTTTTTCTTCGGCATGCGTTTTTAAAGATTTTACTTAGATTTTACTTTAGACAAGTGCTTCAACCTGCATATCAAACCGAAACATTGGAAATAGCCAAAGCGAATCAATCACGCTGCGCTGAGAGCAAAATTTTGCAGAAATCTGTTTGTTGCACCTGATGGCGGGCGCCTACGACAGCGGAGTACTCAGGATTTCGGTTCGGAAAGTGGGGAGGGGTGGCAAGGAGGGCAGAGTGAAAGACCAAAGAAGTACACAAAAGTTAAACTACACAACGGAAAATGCCAAAGCTTGTAGTTTATTCACGATATACTCCAAATTTAGGCCGATTCCACAATCTGTCGAATTTGGTAATTATTTCAATAATTTCTTAGAGAAATTGCAAAATGGCTCTTCGTCGCTTTGAGAACATGCATCAACTCGCGTATGGCTGGTGCGTAGCATTCGACACAAATAATCAGCTGAAGATCAGAAACCATTATTCGGTGATGGGCATGGAGTCTTCGTTTGGTTCTTCCTTGCCAGCCTCCTTTAACCCCCTTCTGCGCGCGCCAGTAGCGGTGATTGTAGGGAAAAATAAAGAAAAGAAGAGCAGAGGCCGCGCATAACTCGCCCGCCCGTGGAGTGGGAGAGGAGTGCGTCTGCATGGTTGGCCCGCAGCGCCAGCTCCTAGCAGCGGCCGCAGGCAGGAACTAGGCGTCTTGCGAAGGCCGTACAACGGCGCGCGCCGCTCCCTCTTTAGCCCGGCCGTGATACGTTATAAATGGTGTGGCCGTGCCTTACAAGGCCCGATTTGACTCTTTATATGGACCAATCTGTGCCATATATGCCTGTATATAACCCCATATCAGAACCGACCCCACCAGATATTCATTCATATATGGTAAACGGAAAGCGCATATGGTGACATATATACTTATATGTGGCCACATAAAACTTATCTATGACATTTTCGTAAGGGTTGTTTTTGATCACCTATTAACTGTGGCGTATACCCCATTCAGGCATAAATTTCTCAGCGTTGTCAGCCACTGCATGAGCAATTGCCACAAAACTCCTTGCAATTGTTTAGCGGACACAACGCTTCTCAGAAGACTGACAAAAAATACCCTAATGAATGCTGGCCGCAGAAAATATTATTATTAATGCAGTAGTGTGCACCCAGCAAGTGCGCTTGCAGCAGTTACCAATGAGTATTGAGAAAAGGCTCTGAAAGGCCGCTCTTTTAGCTTTGCAGTGCCTTCCGCGCAGGCCTGGCGTTTTCTCTTCAGGCTATGCGGTGAATGAGTACAACCGTGTTGCGGGCGAGCTTTCGTAGGTGTTGAGCACCCCACCCCCAGAGAAATTATTAGACATCCATAGAAGTTTCAGCCAGCACACATACGAGGAAGATTGCTATTTTCAACGAAAATGAAAACGCTAACAACGCGGTACCACACGTAAAATTACGTAAGTACCCATGGTGGTCATTTGCTTACATTCCCGAGAGTGTTAAGCAAGTTGGGCCACTATGGCGCTTCCTTAGGCACGCAATAGGCGAATAACTGGAGAGCTGCATGAAGACTGATTCAATAGGCGGGGGTCCTAACTGTACAAATATTTTACACTATTTACTCTTTCCGCCACAGGGTTCGCAAAGCCGCGAATGGGGCCGAACGGTTGAATATGTCGTCGAAGCCATACTTAAGTTCCTTTTTTTAAGCCTTCCTTGTATCGAGTGCGTTTGGCTGTCTTCCTCGGCGGACGGTATTTGGCAATATTTAAAGAGCATGTGGTAGTAGGCTTGTCAGTCACTCAGACGTTTTCTTTCCTGTGCTGGCAATAGTTTCGCTGATGCCTCAGACATATGAATGAGTGGTGTTTCTGTTGTCGTGTTGACACATACGCCGAATGCTGAATTTCTTGAGGAGCGTTGCCGTGCTTTCAAAATTCAGATTATTTGGTAGCTGTTCTTCCTTAGTTTCTTAAATAGCGCTCGCTTTTCATTCGTTTAAATACGCATGCCACTACTTGTACTTGTGCCTTTATAATCTGGCGTCATTGGCCGACTGGACGAATTTCGGGTGCGCCGGGCTCCCTGGCGCCCCGCTTGCCTACGTGCATTGTGTAGGGTGTCCCCCATGGTGTAGTTTTGTTTATTAGCTTTTTAAGAGGAAAACAGAACTTTTCTCGTGTCAGTGTTGATGCTACTACCTATCTTACGTTTTTCAGCTTTATAGCTCTGTATCTTATTCAAATTTTCAACATCTCATTGTTTCGAGATTGGCCGCACGCTCTTTTCACATTTGTATAGACTTCATTCATTCCTATGTAAACCTGAAACTCTGATGTGATGAGCTTGGCTTTTTTATTCGGATTTGCCGATGCCAGGAACAGAGGGTAGGAGCCTTGTCAAGCCGCCAACGTTGTAGCATTTTGCTCTTATCCTTGTTTTTTTTTTCGCAAGTTGTCTAATAAAAATGCGCAATAAAGCTGACTTTCAATTTGGACTTCAGTTATGCCCTGTCGCTCTTAGCTTCTTGTTCTCGTATTCCCTCTTTTTTGTTGGTGTTTTCTCCTGTACAGTGACCATGTTTTATTGATTTACTAACTGATTACATCATGCAAGTTGCTATAGGGTTCTTCATGAGCACCTTGATCGATCGATCAAGTGAGGGATTGATTGATTGACTGGTTCGTTGCAGGCACAGTCCAAAAATATTGGTACGATTTCTGCCGAGCACACTGCAATAAAGCCTACGAAGCATCCATCGCGAGAAGTTAAAATGAGCCCGCAATTTCCTTTAGGCTACTGAATTGTGAAGATGAAGGCGCAATTGCAACAGCGACGTTGTTTTTTTACAATATTAGTTTGTCAAAACGCTGCGTTGCCAAGACCATAGAAAAAACTTGGCGAGACTGTCGACAATTACCGCAGGTAAGTTCCTTAAGACTCGAATAAAATTTTATTTATTGATTGATTGGCTGACTGACTGACTGATTGTATAATTGATTGATTGTTATGTGGCGTTATACATCCCAAAACTACCATGTGAATATTAGAGACGTCGTAGTTCGTAGTGGAGGGCTCCGAGAGTTTAGACCACCTGGAATTCTTTAACATGCACCCAAATTTGAGCATAGCACGTGAGCACAGCCTACAGCATTTTTGCCTTCATCGCGAATGCAGCAGCCGCAGCTGTGGTTCGATCCCGCAACCTGCGAGTCAGCAGCCGTGTACCTTAGCACTTGCCCACCACGGAGGAGTGAAAATAAAGTTTGTCGACTGACTGACTGAGTAGCTGCTATACGCCACAGCAATGCGCTCGATTGGTGCCAAGTGTTTGCTTATTGCACGTGGGCAGGATGGCAGCAAGGCTTAGTGCCAATACTAATTTCAGTATCAGGGAACAAAAACAGCCAACAGGACGTTTTACTGAACGCATTATACAATTGAGCCGCCGTTACCAATACGTGAACTGGCGCGGCTATGGAGAAATCGACAAGGTGCTTTATGAGCATTCCTCCTTGCTGTAGAGCGTGTACCTATTCGAACCACAGTTCTCGTCAAACTGCTTCAGGCATTCGTCTGGTACAGAATCTTTGAATTCAGGCGTCACTCCCATGATGCATTCTGAAATAAGTAAAGCATAGTGTTGAATATGTATATCCACTACCAAAGTAATTACCTAACACGCCATTATGTGTTAGTTTTGGTCACAATTACTGATATCTCTTCCCTCTGCACTGTATTTTCATGAGAATTTGGGACAGTCGTATCTATATACGCACGACTTAGTGTCTCCGTACATCCAAATCCCCGATGATTTACCTCAGTACCATTTCTTGTCCCGAAATAGTCATAGACCTATTTATATGCACGCAACGAACCCCCGCGGAACACTACAAAAAGTTATTGTGAAGAGACGTGAAGGAAAGGAAAGAAAAAGTGCTCAACTCTGTTAGCTTCAAAGCTGGGTAGGGGTGAACATGCAGTTTGAGTCGGTGTTTCTCACAGCAATTTTTTTCGCGTTTCACTACTTCTTTATTTATCTTTATTTATACTGTAAGCCAAAGGCCAGTACAGGATGGAGTACTGAAATACTCTTCACACATTGTTCAAAGACACAAGCACTACGCAATGAAATCAAGACAGATAATGCATCTGACAGCAATAAACAAAATACACCATAAATACCATACCAATCTGCAAACAAAAAGCAACTCTTACCAAAGGTATAATGCACAAAAGTATTCAAGTTTTACACAGTAGTAATCAACAGTGAGCAGAAATCAACACAATTGCAGACACCACACTCAACATACACGGCTCCACATGCCTGAAAATTAAGAGCATCTAAATCAGGAACATTTTAAATCATTATCTATAGTTAATTGAACTGATGTCAAAGCATACAAGCCGTCTTCCATTAGAAAAGAAAAGGAGGTACTACCGTTTCTATACAATTACTTGGAAGAATATTCGGCCAGTTCAAGTTTCTCAAAATCCTCTGAAGAGTGAATTTCGGCTATATTACGTGGCAGCACGTTCCCCTCTTCAATCATTTTCGGGAAGAAGGAATATTTGAAGGTGTCAATCTGTGCGGGTATGGGCACAAATTGATCCGCATTGCTCGATCTGACAGATCATGCAGCTCGTGACATTCTGACTTACATAGTATCACTTAAAATATTTGTCGAAAGAATCGATGTTTCAAGCAAAAGACATTACCACAGAAATGCATGCGTGCGTCTCTGGTTTTATACAAGAAATTTGAGCACCTTGGTAAATTTCTACGGGTATTCTGACGCAACTTCTATGCCAAGCAGAAAATTGTCATGCAGTAGCGACCATCCTTACTCATACGCAGCATGGACCGGCGCCGAGTAGTAAGGGTTGTACTATTCTTCAGACGCACACCCGTTTATAATGAACAGTGACGACGACCACACGCTGACAAGCCAAGACCTTAAGATGCTTTGCTCCTAATGCGGAGTGTCCCGCTGCAGCTCCCAGGGAACATAATTGTGTCGTATTTTTACCTTAAAATTCTCATCAATGTAACTCTCTTCAACGCACCCTCCCTCAAAAGAGCATCTTATATACCTCTTCAGTCACGCATAATGATGCAATGTCCGGAGATGGGTCAAATTTGGTTGACATGATTCTGAAGCACTCAGTGCTACATACGGAAAAGGCTATGATGGAATATTTTGTCTGTGAGTTTCAGTAACTACAGTTATTAGCGTGTAATAAATGGATAATCCTGCTATCTGCCAACTCCTATACTTGCATAAAAAGAAGGAACTGTTATGCACAAAATATATGCAGTGTTTTGTATTTTTTTAGATTAAAAAGAAAAAAATGACTGATCTAGCTATATAAGAATTGGTATAACGCGAAAGTAAAACATGCCTTTACAGAGCTAGTTGAGCGTTTACTGTGTATTGTTTCAGCAACAGATTGCAGTCACGTTAGGAACGGCAAGCCACTCGAAAGTTGCAGCGCACACCTTAAGCGCAAAGCACGCACAAAATTAGCATACACATGACGATTGCGTACTAGCAACTGTCACAGCTCCACACCTAAAGCACACTGTTCAAACAAAAAAACACGTGAAACGAGCACACAAGCATAGACAGGACAAGCATGGACAACTGTCAAACTTCTTCCTGCATCGTGTGTCAGCAGCGCACTCCGGCAGCATGCAAAGTGACCTTCGTCCTATTACGACCTGCGAGTCTCATAAGCACGCGTGGGGGATAGACCACACTTGGCGGAAGCGCCGCTTCGTGGAGGCGACAACCTTGAAAGCACGCCAATCCTAAGAAACATAGATCGACGCGAGCTCGTCGTGCCGTCTCGCCACTTATAACGAAAATGTGCTAAAGTTTCGAAGCCCTGAGAACTGCTAAACGGTGTATGCTGTATATAAGTGTCTTGCCGTTAATACTCCAGTCGAAGTACGCTTCATGGCACAGTGTTTGCGTCACGTGCTCAAAATTGGAAAAATGCTAGGGCGATTCCGCATGACAAAGTACATTAGCGGAACCATAGTGAACCACAGCGTAAAACACTTTCATGCTAAAAAAGCCTTGACGTTAGTCCTGAAAATCTGTACGCAGAACAATCGTCGAATATGATAGTGTATTCAGCACACTCATCCCTTGCAGCAGTGTGCAGCATTAATGAAGTCACACTCAGGAGGCCTGCACGAATGTGAAAGTTTGAAGCCACTTGATGAAACACGTGGTGCGTGACGTGCTATCGAAGTTCACGTGTACATTTGTACACACCATGACTGGAAAAGCTATATTCCACATTTTATTACCCCGCGTGTCCTTTGTCCAAGAAAGTATTCGGGAACTTTGTGAAGCGTCGTCTTACCGTGGAAACGAAAAAACTGGATTTAGAGGGTATTTTCACTAGAAACAACCTTAGTAAATCAGTTGACGTTCTGTCATATATTATATTTTCATGATCGATAAGCTTCAGGTCCAGGTGAGCTTGCAGGTTTCCTCTGTGCAGAAAATTACATTACCTAAATTTAACTAACCATTACCCGATGTACGAGGATGTGAGCCACCGCCACTGTGGAAACATGCCTAATTTGGCAGAAATCCCATTGCACAGAAACTTCACCGACCATGTCCTGACAGTCCTACTCACTGTTTCTCCACGCTAGACGGTTTTCTTTCTATGGCAGCACACCGGAGAATAAAGAGTACGTGTTAAGTCACTTCAAATCGATCTAGAACTAGTGACTTCAACAGTATCCGAACACTCAAAAGCGCAGTGGTTCTGAACACTACTGTCCAAAAACAAATTATTGTTATCGCACAAGCTTTTGCGGTCAAACATGCCTGTGCATTCGGCTTACTCAACCTTAGAAATGGTAAATGATGAGACAAGTAAATGCAATGCACATAATTTTCAACGTTGAGGCAACTACCATACTGATGAGGGGAACTGAAAGACAGCTTCGTCAACTGAGTGGTTCCGAGGCTTCATCATGTGCCATGAGAGCGTGCTCAGCTCTTGCACAATTTTTCTTCAAGTGGCATTGCAGTGGAAAACTTGTGGCACATGCGTGTTGTCCTTTCATGCGCACGTTCTTTTTTAATTAAAAAATGTACAAGCTTCCAGTACCACGCAAGGCTTGAAAGAGCAAAATGGGACGATATTATAGAATATTGTAGTAACTTCTAGGTTATTTCTAGGCCTTACCTAGGCACTACACTTTATAGACTGCTTCTCGGTTAATGCAAAGTTTTAGCTAGATGGTGATAGGCTGTTTCTACGTTGATTCTCAGCGCAGAGAGGTGGTAGTTAAATCACAGTTAGCCACACACATGACACAGGTGTTCGAACTCTAACGACAGAACCGTGGACGGAAGCCAAACGTTCACACATCCCATAGACCTGCAGCCACGATGTTGGCCTGGGCCTTCCACCGAATTGGCGTCTTATCGCAGCTACCGTTGCCATTCACGTTCCCTACAGTATTCGTTGTTGTATATATCCGGATTCTTCGGCTTACCGCCATCGCTTCAAAAGCATTTGTGGGGCTAATTGGTGACCCTTCATTTTTCTAGACCACTGGTCCGTACTGGGATTTCAATAATTACTCATGCGCTTACCCGCTTATGGTGGTGATAGTTCTCTGGTAAGCCACACCTGGCCAAATACCCGTTCAGAAAGTGAGAGTTTTTCTGCGATCTACGCACAAGACACAACTGAAAAAACAGCTTCACTATTTTTTCTGCTATCTCCACACAAAGAACAACTGACAAAACAGCTTTGCTGTTGTTAATAATGTTTGCTATTTAGTGCCTAAAGGTTGCTTCTGCACGCCCCGTCGTCCAGTGAGCCCTAGAATAAGACACAATGGTGCCATAATTTTGGTGACAGTTGCCACAACGTATACATGAATTTCCTGAGGCTTTGCGGGTGTCTTTCTATCCAGTATATAAACCCACAGTCTAGCGCAAATGCGCAAACACTTGCATTTAATGGCCACGCAGACTTAAAGCCATCTTGCGCACGCTGCCATGCGCAATTAGAACTGTTTACGCACACCAAAAAGAAGGGCCACGTGAGTCTCAAGACCGTTCCTTCTCGGCTGGTGAAAACTAACCACATGCTATAGTCAATGGCTTTCTTTTTTAAAATGCCAAGCATTTTTAGCGAACTTTGGCGACATTAAGCGTATCTATCTATCTATCTCTCTATCTACGTATCTATCTATCTATCTAGCCGCTTACGACTTTTAGATATCTTGGTCGTTTCGATAATGGTATCGATACCAAACTTAGTATGGCTTAATCCGACTGTATGAAAAACATACTAGACTAGTCACAACATGAAAATCACGACATGTGCGTTATGAAAATTATGATTTAGATTTCATGGTCCTGCAGCTTTTGCGGTGGTTTCATTCACATGGCATGTTGCAAAACTGGTATTGTAAGGCATGATTGCATGGCGAACACAAGCGACAGTACCCTAACATGAAAATCATGACATGCATGTCATGTAACAACATGAATACATGCCACGCTCATGATGCGCTTTCGGCCGTTTCGCTAGCGTCATTTGGTATTACAGTACGTGAATGGATGACGAAGGTATGTGACTGGTGCAAACATGATCATCAGGAGATGCGTGTCATGTGAGCAGGAGGGGCTGCCGTGACCTGAGAGGTGGTACGTCTGTTCAGCGGCATAGCGTCAGCGAGTATATGGCAGGACCGGCGTCTGGCGTGACAACGCTGGCGTGACGTGACGTGATGAAATGAACGCTGGCGAGCACGCGCACTGCGTCGCGTCGAAATGTATTGGCACCATGACAGTCAATACATTTTCACGTGACGTGGTGTGCATGCTCGCCAGCGTTCATTTCTTCGCGTCACGCCGGCGTTTTCACGTCAGGCGCCAGTCCTGCCATATATTCGCAGGCACGTGCCACGCTGCGCTGCTTTGACGCACGCGCGTTTCAGCACGTCTGGCGTCCATCCGTCATGAAAAGAGGGAGACGCAGTGTTGTCTAAGTGACGCATCGGCGCGAAATCCAGTATGTCGCATTTCGCACCGGTTGCCGTCGGGCTGCACCGACGGACGCTAGTCGCGCCGGTCGCGCCTGGCGTCAGACTATAGAGTGCTCGCGTTTTGCTAACGTAGCGTCGCTGTGCCCAGCGTGCGCGCGCGTCAACGCTACATTGGAGTATATTAGGCCCTTCATGATGCGCTCTCAGCCATTTTTCCAGCTCCACATATACCAAAGTTGGTGTTACGTGACGTCACTGTATGACGCAAGTATATGCCTGGTGCAAACATGACAATCCTGACACGCGTGTCATGTAAGAACATGACAACATACCACGCTCATACGTGCTCGTGGCCGTTTCGCTAGCTCCACATATATTCAGGTTTGGGTGCACGTTAAAGAACCCCAGGTGGTCGAAATTTCCGGAGCCCTCCACTACGGCGTCTCTCATAATCATATGGTGGTTTTGGGACGTTAACCCCACATATCAATCAAATCAATTAGCTCCACATATACTAAATTAGGTATCACGTGACGTCAATAGATGACGAAGGTAAACGACATATCCAAACATGATAATGATGACGCGGAAGTCATGTAAGGCATCATTTACCTCCACCTCGTATGATGGATCTGCCAATTTTTTTAGCATTGGTTTCCAGAGACCAAAGAAATTCTGAAGAAAATGAACTCTGGAAAACAGGCAAAACGCATGTGTCGAACTGATTAGCAAGCCGGTTATGGCACTAAAGGCTTCGTGTTCAAACACCGTATTCGGGCTTTCGGAAGAGATCCTAAAGATGTGTACCATTTTTCTTATACAACTAAATTGATACTCTACAATTCAAAGATAGCCACACCTGCAGCAAGAGCCCGCTCAGTAAGTAAGAACACGTGGAACAGAAAATGCGGGTGACGAAGCTGCCCTCGAATTCTAGCATCGAACGTCGTGACGTGCCGTATCTTCATGGTATCTACAAGCCTTAAACGGAACTTCAACCTTTATTTCTCTTCTATCAATAAATATTTATAGGCGAAGTGATGGGGATGACGGTTCTCACCATAACATTCATTAGTCTAAGCCAAAGAATTGTTTAGTGTCCCTTTAAAATATTCTGCATTCTCATTCGGTGTACTATCGGACTAAATGAAACACGAGAAGTAGAGTGCGTGCCCCAAGCATTAAAAACGGTATAGTGCGCTTCGTCCATTCATGCCACTGACAGGTGCGCACGGTAGATGTCAGCACAGCACGACGAGTCTGCAATGCGATATTTTTTTCTTTGCAATCTAGTTCTGATATTGCGCTGATAGGAGTCCACGTGAGCGTGTCAGGCGCTTTTGTCATTTCACAATTAATTTTCTTTTACTTTCGTCCCCTTCTTTTTTTTCAAAATATCATAACTAGAACAGAAGCGAGAACATCGCACTACATGGGAATCCCTCAGGGCTGCTAGACGGGATTTGCGGAGCGGACCTGTTTATGGTGATGACTGGAGGGCGCACACTTTCAGTGATGCTTGTGGGATGCGCTCCACTGTTCGTGTTCTTTTGACGCTAATTGCATAGTCATAACACATGGAACACGAGAAAGAAAATAAAAACAGTAGATAATTCATGTAATAGCTCGAAAACTCAACTGCAGACCGCAAATTATCTGTTTGAGAAATTATTCTTGGCTTCTACTTGAGCGTGCAAGCTTAACCTAAGCTGACGTTATGACCACTCGGGCAAACAGGAAGGAAAGAACGCCCTTTTATTCCGTCCCCGTTTTCTGTGAACGTTATTATGCATCCCAGCTGCACTGACGTCATTCATGTGTGCGTATGCGTGCATGTATGCCAGAGTACATGCGTATGGATGTGTCTTTTTTTTTCACTGTTATTAATCTGGTCGAACCAAATGACTTGGAGGTAGAAAAACACTACATTAGCAAAACGATCTCAGCGTATCGACAAAGTGAATGATGATGAGTAAGGCGAAGCGTTCGTCTCTCCATCTGTCCGTGTTTGCGTCCGTCCGTGCATGCGTCTATGCGTCTAATTATGTTCGAGAATGCAGACGGCGCGTGGTAACACCGACGACACGCGAGCTAAGCAAGCCGAGTGCAAGCGTCTTCAACGCGCCCGCCGCTCTGCCCCATCTATCCCCCACTAACGATCCGCCACGTACGGCGACTATCCAGGAAACTGAGAGGGGCACTCGTCCACACAGTATGCAAACGACGCGTGGGTAAAACTGACGAGACGTGATCCAAGGAAGTCGAATGCAAGAGCCTTCAACGTGCCCGCCGCTCTGCTCCATTCATGCCCCACCAGCGATCCACCAGGTAAGGCGACCAATCAGGAGACTGAAAGAAGCACTCGTTTGCGCACTCAGGCAAAGCGCGCGCTGAAGCCAATCGAAGAGTAGCGGCACTTCGAAGAGTAGTGGCAGAGTAACGCCATCTATGAAATGAAACGAGAAATGTTCATTCATTTCATTTTTTGGTCTCTTCTCTCGGTAACGCGTGACTATTGACAAGGTTAGACTGTAAGGAGCTTCGCTCCTAAAACAGGTTTCTACAAGTGCCTACCACAAGTGTTTTCATAATGTCATTTTCATTGATCTTCTGGTAATTGGCAGGTCAATGGCCACACAATTAGGGGTAAGAAATTACAGTTCCTAAAAACTCGAGCTTTATATGCTTTAGTCAATCTTACTACCACCACAGACAGGAGCTACATAGCTAATGAATCAGATCAATAAAATTGTTTTTTCCAAGAGAGCCAAATTGTGGGGCACCAGCCTACCCGGTGTTCAGTGCGAGTGGCTATGAAGACGTTGATACGGGTTATTCGATAAACCGAAGTAAGAGACTTGTCTCAGACAGTGCTTTGAGTGTCCCCTCTCCCTTTCGTAGAGCAGGGTATCCAATCAGTTTCCCCTTCCTTACCAACAACAACTGCCCTGTCTTTTATTTACCTTTCTCTCTCTGTGTGTGCCTGAAGGATATATACATACATATATATATATATATATATATATATATATATATATATATATATATATATATATATATATATATAAGTATATATATATATATATATATATATATATATATATATATATATATATATATATATATATATATATATATATATTTATATATATATATATATGTATATATATTGGCAGGCATGGTGGTTGAGTGGCCGTAGCGTTGCATATAGTCCAGTAGATCCTCCGTGAGCGGTCACAACGTGGTTTATTTCGACGTTTCGGCCTAGAGTCTGGCCTTCATCAGGGTGTATATATCCTGATGAAGGCCAGACTCTAGGCCGAAACGTCGAAATAAACCACGTTGTGACCGCTCACGAAGGATCTACTGGACTATATATATATATATATATATATATATATATATATATATATATATATATATATATACGCGTTTCGAGAGAACTTTTGTATCTATTCAATATATAGTAACTACTCAACTGCGAACAGTCACGTTCAAGCACTTTTTGTTAACAATAATAAGCCTGAACACTTGTATTTTTTTCGAAAACTACTATCACGCCTTGCTTTCCTACTGCCAACGGCTATTGCCAGTGTTAAAAAACCACTACACCCTTGCGGTACCGCGAACACTTCTCATGCTTTTCCTCATTCCGTTTCAATTGCTTTTTTGTTACACCACTAGCAGTTCCGACCACTCCCGTTTGGCGTGTCGACCCATTTCTATAGCAACGTCCTCTGCTTCCTACCTTTCCTCTTTTGCGAACATCCTCTTTTTTCTCCCTTCGTTCTTGTTGTTTGGAGAGACAGATAAAAACACGCAAATATGGGTTATTGCGAATGCGTACAAATATGCCAAACCAGTTCAATTGTAGAAATTGTCTCCTGTGATTTTTTTCTTTTCGTATGGCAATGTGTGTAGGGGCATCAAAATGACTTTGTGCCCCAATTTTAACAGCGAGGCTGTCCTCAGTCGAGGCTTTCATGCCTGGGGTCCATTGTAGATTGTAATAGTATTCACCCACTTCACGTGGGTAAGTCCCACTGCAGGTATATGTTACTACTCTCCCTTAATTCAGCCCACTTCCGCCTACTTTATTCAACTCCATGCTGGCCACTAGCTTCGCTGTTTCATCAGTGTGCGCCAAGCGTAGCTGGCTTAATTTTTTTATCCATGACTTTCAGATTGTATTCACCAAGATGTTAGTTCGTAAGAGCAAGTGGCGTTTCGATTGTTTACGCTGAATAAAGGTTTTTTTGCGCGTTACCCTAATGAGAGAATTCGCAATAAATATTTGCAGTGCTACATTATTCAGGAGTAGATAGCCGTAAATCAGGTGTCGCAAAGCTCCTATACCGAAAATTTTTCAAGCATCACGCAAAGTGCTCGTGAACCACTGTGCGAATGTATTGTACGATGTCAGAAATTAAATGTATGAGTAATAGCTTCAATACGTTGTTTACTTACGTCGGAATCCAAACAGAACCATGCTTGCGATGATGCAGTTCTTCCCGTTAAAATAAAGTACCTTGGCAGGGTGGTCTGGGAAGATCACTGAAACAAGTCAAGAATGATTTGCATTGTTGTTGTGGTCTTCTTACAGTACTGTGGGCAGTTTTTGTAGGCGACAATATATAATGACCTATGACAGACGGCGGTTGTAAGTGGATCAAATCCGAAAATAAAATCAATACGCCCGACGTTCTCATTATCTAGGTGAAGTTTCACTATCAGAGTTTAAATTGTAAGAAAACCGTATTTTACTTATCACCCAAAATCTTTAAAAAGTGCATGCCAAATATTGGTGCCTTTGGCGCTCGAGATCTGAGACAGCATACCAATTTTTAGGTGACTGTGTTGTTAGCAAGACAAATGTACTTTACATTGTTCGACATTGTTCAAATGGCACACATAAAGTGACCAACGACCTTGAGGGCTCTTTTTCTCCAGCTTTCAGTACGAACTACACTCAAGCTGTCATGATGTGCAGTGTAATAATTAGCAGAAATTCGAGGTATCCTCTTCAGTACTGATAAGCATTCCCACGTAGTGAATGATGACAAGTGGGTGATGCTGTCTTAAGCTTCACAATGTCTTCGCTGATGTCGCCGACTAGTAGAAAGGACGGAAGGTCGTACGGACTGACGCGCGGATGAATGGATGGACGCATATAAATGCACGGATGGACGGACGAACAGATGACGAGCAGACGCAGGGACGGACAGATGGATAAATTATCTATGGTCCGACCGACGCAGCGGCGTGCGTACAGGCACACGGATAGACGGACTGACAGGTGCCAAGGCCTATTAGGTATATTGCTGTCCTATACTTGATTGATGTGCAGAAAAGTTTTTGTACAGTTGTTTTGGTTTTTCGTTGGGCTCCTTCTGCATGCAGTTTATGAAGCATTACAGACAACCAATCTCAACCAATGCACATACTGTCACATTCGCGATGCGTATTCTCGCCTTTCCATCAACTAAGCGATAAGAGAAGAGAGGGAAGCGAAACATGAGTGATTAGCGTATAACGCTTCTGTGAAACGAAAATGCCATACTGCCAGGACAGATTAGAAAGAACGGTACGATGAAATAATAAGGAGTGTGACACGGAAACAATGAATTGTATCTGTCCGTACACTTTTTTGAGTGTGTGCGCTTTGTAATTCCTTCATGGCATACTTTCGTTTTGATAGACACCGATGGATGCACTGACTTTCGCCTGAGTAGCTCTGGAACGGGTGTACAAAGCGTAGCAGAGCAAGCAAAGTGCTCCTTGCGACCACAGCCTCACAAATTTAACACGTGCATAAGAAGTCTCTGAGCACTCTATTAATGCCTGAATTAAAGTGGTGTTTTTGTAAGGCCTGCCGTTAGGTAAATCATTGTTTCCGTTTCAATCCCTTCTAACCATCTTCTAGCAGTGATCCCCCGAAAGCATCGCACTTCAGTGTATTCTTACCTCCACAAGGACCGAAAAGGAATTCACCTGAGGCCGACGTCGTGAGGTTGACGCAGAAAGGTGGTATCCTGAGAAAATACGAGAGACTTAGCAGCGATCGGATATTTCCTTCAGCTCGCACACATAGCCCTCGATGTACAAGCACCCGCTAACCATAAAATTTATCGCAAATAGCTGAACCAATGCATAGAAAATTTGCATAATGCAGAAGGTTCACTAAACAGCTTAAGTACTTAAATGATGAAAGTTTTTTTTTTTTTTTGCTTACGCAGGCTCATGTACCCGTGAGGAACGAAACGCATCACTTGCACTTTTGTTTTAAAGCAATGGTTAAACAGGACCACACGTAGGGAAGTAAAGGAAGAGTGCAGTCTTTTTTTATGTAATGGCCAGCAATGTGAGCTGGGAAACCACAATGTTTAGACGTGCGCAGGTGAAGTGGCTTCTGAAATCAATTTGTACCACATGAGCTCTCCGAAGACCAACTGAACGACGGCGCCAGTCAACCCTTCGTCCAGTTTATAGGGCACAGATGTCCACCTAAACGTCGTAGTGTCAGTCAGTGCCACCCGTAGCCATTACGCTGAGTGTGGCCTACTTTTTTTTTTGCCGGTTGGCGTCACGTAGCAAGTGCTCTTATTACGAGCAGGCCACTGACCAACAATTCTTCGCATACATATTACATGATTGCATTAAGTCTACCAGAAGGAGACACTCGCTTTAAATTAAGACACAAAATATAAATTTAAGAGCTCGTCTTTTTTGTTAGACACAATAATAATGACAACTAAGACACAATGATGGAATGAAAACTATAGGGGACCCTCTTAGCAGTAATTATTATGTAGTTATAAAGAAGGCCTCTGATTTGGTCTCTGCCAATGACAAGTTCTCTTTTTATCCACTTTTTTCACATTTAGATTGCAGTTGCCACAAAAGCATCTGCTATACATTGTATGACATTTGCCTGTTAATGTTATTATATAGCTATTGTGTCTAGCGAAGAAAACGGGCACTTAAATTAACACGTGTTAACAATATGCTTAGGTACGACAAATAGACACATATTGCGAATACGACATGCACGCATTATAATACACAAAGCAACACAATACCGGTGTCACACGGGCACTTTTAATCGCGATCATAATGATCCGGATCAGTTTTCTTGATCGTGATCAACATCGTTACCACTGCTACCAAGGAGGTTTAAGAACAATTGCTGAGATGCAAATTCTCGCCCTCAAGTGAAGCTATGCTAACCATAAGATGGCGGCTGCGTCAGCTATCTTACTAGAAGCAGAATGAGCTGTTGGCGTTTGGAGATTGAGAAGGAGCGTTTTCCTCGCACACTCAAGGAGTTTAACAGAGCAACTTTAGATAGATAGATAGATAGATAGATAGATAGATAGATAGATAGATAGATAGATAGATAGATAGATAGATAGATAGATAGATAGATAGATAGATAGATAGATAGATAGATAGATAGATAGATAGATAGATAGATAGATAGATAGATAGATAGATAGATAGATAGATAGATAGATAGATAGATAGATAGATAGATAGATAGATAGATAGATAGATAGACAGACAGACAGACAGACAGACAGACAGACAGACAGACAGACAGACAGACAGACAGACAGACAGACAGACAGACAGACAGACAGACAGACAGACAGACAGATAGATAGATAGATAGATAGATAGATAGATAGATAGATAGATAGATAGATAGATAGATAGATAGATAGATAGATAGATAGATAGATAGATAGATAGATAGATAGATAGATAGATAGATAGATAGATAGATAGATAGATAGATAGATAGATAGATAGATAGATAGATAGATAGATAGATAGATAGATAGATAGATAGATAGATAGATAGATAGATAGATAGATAGATAGATAGATAGATAGATAGATAGATAGATACGTTCAAAGTCGCTGAAGTTCGCTCAGAAATGCTTCGCATTTAAAACGATGGCACTATCTTACGAACAGTATAATAAACGGCGCTGCCTCATAGAAGCACAGACAAACTGCAATTGAGTGAGGATATTCTAGAACAGTACAATAGATGGCACTGTCTCATAGAAGTACGTACAAACTGCAGTTAAGTGAGGATATTCTAGATGACATTGTACCGGTACTTTCCAGAGAAATTTCTGCGGCGCGGTCTGTCCCTCGGTACGTGGAGAACGAGTACTTTTCTGTCTTTTGAATAGTCGCCGTATGTGGCGGATCGTTGGTGGGGCTTGAACGAAGCAGAGCTGGGGGCATGTTGAAGACGCTTGCGCTTGGCTTCCTTGGCTCACATGTCGGCGGTGTTACCCACGCGCCTTCTGCATTCTCGAATGTGATCGGACGCATGGACGCATGCATTGACGGACGGACACATGAGCAGATGGACGGACGAACGCACGCTTATACAGACAGACAGATGAATGGATGGTCTGAGAGACAGACAGACAGCCAGATGAATGAACGGACGCACTGACAGACAAACAGACAGACGTATGGACGTACGGATGCACACATGAACGGAGAGAATGAGAGATGCTTTGCACTACTCATTATTATTCAGTCCGTAGAGATATTGTGATTTTCTCACTTACACTGACAGCACTTAGGAACCCTGTCAGTAGCTCTTCAGGACACAATAAATTTCGTTGTCTGTCAGCCGGTCCGTTCATTCCTCGCTTTTTTGTCTAAGATATGTCATAAGCTGTCCATTTTCTTACTCTGGGCATCACCCTTACACAATCAAATATTGTCAAATTTCGCATGCTGACAACAGCACAATGGCCTACGTACTCAATGTAGCCAAGAGGACTTGGTAACTGGAAATCGTAAGTCGCTAGGTGGTCTTCCGGCACAAGTGATGTGAGGTCTGCCCTAAGGCAATGCTCCAGTGGACTGTCGATCGTACTGTGCATGGCGATAATGTGATTCATTATTGAAAGCGCATCTGTGAGTTCAGAGCTTGTGGTCACCTGCGAACAAACCGCATGTATACAGATAGTATTGGCGTAACGTACGGCATTTCCTCAAGGAAAACGCTCAAACACTGGTCCAATAACTACAAGAAAATTCTGGTACTTATTTCAGTCAACTAACTCAGGCGGAACCTTAATAAGACAAAAAGGCACACGCGTGGTACGAAAATCTTGACAACTCAGTATGCCTACTGCCCTCCGGGCCGACTCAATTTATTTTCAAGCGTGCCGTGGTTATTACCTGGCAGTAATTCAACAGTCACTTTTTAAACATCTAGTTTTTCAATACAAAACATTCCGTAGATATATTTCAGAGCGTATATTCATTGTCCTTACCCTGAATCTCCACGGCTGCAAGTGGCTGGAGGGGTTGTTTATTGCGGCACCCGGAACGACGTCCGAAATATCTTCCTTTCTTTGTCACCTGTTATCTAAAGGCCAGCACGGCAGTTTTCACCTCAAATGGGGTATTTTCGTGTGTAGCTTTTTTATAAGAAGCAACTTTGTGACATCTGGGCTCGAAATACACCTAATACGTGTTTTATCATTCACTGTATAGCATTCTTTTTTCTATTCGCGGATACTTTCATTTTTTTCTTTGCCTGCAACCCCCCACCGTACGACTGCTCCGCCGTGCGGCCCTCGCCGTATCACCTTGAAGCAACGCGCCCTTCTGCCTCAAAAGGTTGACGACCATTACCATAAATATTTTTTTTCTTGAAAATAACTTCTGGGATCAAAATGCTTCCTAGCTTCGAAGAAAGCATGCAAAATCTGACGAAGTACCACTTGACTGGCTCCTTGCGCACCGGTACATCAGCACCCTACCAAAACGTGTTTTTTTTTCCTCTGGTAAACATGACAACCACGTGTTATAGATGTATGCAATTACTCACTTGTGGTTTCGAGACTCTATTATTATTGTTTATTCAAGAAATGTCATGTCGTTCATGTCGTGGCGTTCATGTCGGTCCACTCTAGTAGATAAGATAATATCCGGATGATACGTAATTGCCCGTTTCAACAGACACTTATTACGACTTCCCATATGCCGCAATATAGAAACATACACATAAATGCAAATGACAACGCACATTGTGCTGTTTATTGCATAGCGATCTAGAAAGCGAGCTGTCGCGATACGAATTCCACAGCGAACACACACTTTTTTTCAATTCTAAGGCACTTGTTGTGACCTTGCCAAGTGCGATCGAATGATCTAACAAGGCTGTCGTTTGCCTATTCTCGCGAAAAATACTTTTCATAGCCTGGACAGTGCTTTGGGATACCGAGATTCTGCTTATCGTGCGATGCCAATCTTCTTAATAATTCATCATCAAAATGCTACTTGTTATACTTACTGGCACACCAGCGTCCTGACCAGTAGAAGTTGTGACGGAAATAAGAAGTAAAGATGCAATATACAGGACCATGGTGAAGTTCTGGATGCTGTGCGTAGCTCACAGTGATGAACCACCGTTTTATATGTACGCATAGCCTGTTTAGTACTTAGTAGGGACTCTGCTAATTATTACTAGGACTTTTATTACCGCGGAATGCAGCAGAATGTCATATGTGGCTGTCATTAACGACAACAGTAAAAGCCAAAAACAATGAGCTGTCATTCTTGCCCCTCACTCTGAGCTACAGCTGAGCAATAGTGGTATCGTGAGCTCGGCATGGTGTAGCCATGGGGATTGACCGCGCGTGGCAGTATGTAAGCCTCGTGAAACACTTTTGCAATCACCAGTGTCACGGGCAAGGAGGGCCCATCTGCGTTTCTTTCGAATTCCTCCTGCTCGTGTGTATGCTTTATATTTACTGAATGTTTAGAAACTGTATTTAGGCGGTAAAACTGGTACAGAATCTATGTTTCTGTACCAGTTTACAGATCTGTTTACAATTACAGTGTTTAAATACAATTATATTTCATACTTCGATTAAGATAAGGACCGATCAGCTGTCAAGGTAATCAGGTAAAATTATTTGAATTACTTCTTTGAAACAGCAGACGCTTTGAAACGCAGAGCACTTCAATGGCCCGGGCAGTTTTATGCTATCTCCGTATCTTATTAATATTGTTTCTAAACACAGAAAAACGAGCCCTTATATATACACTTCTTTCTCTTACTCTATAACGAAGGTCTCGTACTGGCAGACTCTGTGCCTTAGGTTGTATAGGAGGCATTATTGGTCAGCTGCCAGCTCGTAATAAGTTCACGTGCTACGTGATGCTACGGAGGCTCATAAAGAGTGTGCCCCACTCGCCGCCATGGCTACAGATGGCACTGACTGACACTCCCACGTTTAAATTCACATATATGCCCATTAAAGTGGCTAAGAGGGTAGCCGCAGTGGTAGCTCTGTGGTAGAGCACCGAACGCGTTATTCGAAGGTCGCAGGTTCGGTTCCTGCTCACGGCAAGCTATCTTTTTACCCACTTTTCTTTGTTCACATATTCAATGCATTTTGGTCTTATAACTTCCCCTACACTTTCCTTGACATTATTGTCTGTTAGATCTCTTTATATATATATATATATATATATATATATATATATATATATATATATATATATATATATATATATATATATATATATATATATATATATATATATATATATTGTGAGCACAATATTCACAGCGTTTCACTTTCATCTTCTTCATCTGTATATATTCATCATCACGAGAAACGTCGTCTTCGTTCGAAGCGTTGATCAGGCGATTCGGCCTAATAAACGCCATCGCGACCCCTACGCTGCTACCGTCTTACAGAGTGGTGGAGGTTGCTTCGAACCCCAAGTCCTCTCCGACGTCACGTTCCCCTGGAGCTTCGTTTGGGTCACCGCTTGCTTCCCCCGTCCGCTGTCATGGCTCAAGAACCGCTGCCCAGCACATTCAGCATCCCTGTCCAACAAACCATTCCTGCGTGGATTGTCAACGCGCGGCAGCGCGACCCACCCATTTTCTCTGGTCTTCCACGTGACGACGTCGAGGAATGGCTGAAAGAATACGACATGACCAGTGTTTACAATCAACGGGATCAGCCTCAAAAACTTAGTCACGTCACCTTCTATCTGTCCAATGTCACAAAAACGTGGTTTCTTAGCCACGAGAGCAGCTTCCCGGATTGGCCTACTTTTGCTCAACAAGTCTGTAGGATTTTTGGGAAACCAGACATCCATTCCGAAGTGTTGAAACGAAAGCTCGATTGGCGTGCCCAACATCCCGAGGACACGGACACTTCATACAATGAAGACGTCTTTGCCCTTTGCCACCGCGTGAACTCGGTGATGATGGAAGCTGATCGTGTTCGATTCATCATCAAAGGGACAGCTCATGTCGCGTTTAACGCACTGGCTGTAAAGAACCCCACCACCGTCGAGGACGTCATCACCACATGTCAACATCTTGATTACCTCCAAGCCTTTCGATTGCACCCAGACTACCCAGACGCCAGTGAAAGCCGGCCTTCATTGGATGCGGATTTGCGCGCGCTAATTTGCACTGTGATTCACGAGGAACTTCAAGCGCAAGAGTTGTCATGTGCACCCAGCCCTCGGCCTCAATCTCCATCTGCTGGTCTGCGCGACGTCATCAAAGAGGAGCTCTCATCCATGGCTGGCGCTCTCCCATCCAACACTCCGACGCCACCAACGCCGCCCATGACGTATGCGCAAGTCACTGCCATGACACCTGCCTTGGTTCAGCATGCACATCCTGTTCCTGCGCAGTGCAACGTAGCATCATTTGCACCACACTCGTCAGTCCCAGCGCCAGTACCAGCGCCTGTGGCAGCTCCAGCACTCTACGCCCCCTGGCGCTTGCCTCGCCCAATATGTTACTATTGTGGCATTCGGGGCCATATTTCACGATTTTGCCGCAAGCGCCAGCAGGACGAACGCCGTGGCTACGACGTTTACGAAAGGGATTCGGTGCCATCCCCGAACCAGTATCAGCGCCACCCTACGACATGTTCCTTCTCTCCGACTTCTCCACACGCCGCACCTCACCCCTGCTATCCCGGACGCCACCGGTTCTCTTCACCTCTGCGACGCTCAACATCTCCTCGGAAACCGGCTGCACCTACTTCTGACTACCACTCGGAAAACTAACTGGTGCAGTTTTTAGAGGAAAAGCAGCATCGCTCGAACACCAAGACCTTCAGAGGGCCCAGCCAATTTGTTATTATTGTATGCTGAAGGGATACCAGTTCAAGCATTGGTGGACACGGGGCTGAGATTTCTATTATTAATGCGGATTTGTGTTCTCGTCTACGTAAGGTTACCACACCTTCTACTGGCAATCTCTTACGTAGCGCGAATGACTCGCAGGTACGGCGTCAACTCAGTGCACCGTTAGAGTTTTCATTTATGGGATCCGGCATCATATTCAGTTTGCCGTGTTGGCTTTTTGTGCTTTTATGCTTATTTTAGGATGGGACTTTCTCTCTGATGCTGCTGCTTCTATATCTTCTCGACAAGGCCTCATACATACACGAGAGACGGATGATATCTCTCCTAAATCATCACGTGACTGCCTACGAACACCCAACGACTTGCTTGTGCAACCAAACCACGAGCACGTTATCACTCTTATTTTAGTCACTCCATCAGCCCGTTGTCTATCTAGAGGGATTGCACTTTCGTCGAGTCTAGTCTTCAGCGAGCACTTCAACGGCCCGGGCTGTCTTATGCTGTCATCGTATCCCATTATTAACGTTTCGAAACACGGAAAAACGAGCCCATGAATATACACTTCTTTCCCTTATATATATATACATATATATATATATATATATATATATATATATATATATATATATATATATATATATTATATATATATATATATATATGTGTGTGTGTGTGTGTGTGTGTTGTGTGTGTGTGTGTGTGTGTGTGTGTGTTGTGTGTGTGTGTGTGTGTGTGTGTGTGTGTGGTGGGTGTACGCTAATTGGTTGATTGATTGATTGATTGATCGAATGAATAAATTTTGGGGTAGATTTTTTCTGCTCGGGTCCGGTGTGACACCGAACGATTGATTGATATGTGGGGTTTAACGTCCCAAAACCACCATATGATTATGAGAGACGCTGGAGTGGAGGGCTTCGGAAATTTAGACCGCCTGAGGTTCTTCAACTTGCTCCCGAATCTGAGCACACGGGCCTACGACATTTCCGCCTCCATCGGAAATGCACGAGGATTACTGTTACAAAAAACTCATATGTAGTGGTCGTTCACCGATGTAAACCTCCACAGCCAAAGGACTCATGGATGTCAGGCTGTTGTACTATACATGACGTTTACTAGCAAAACTAGCTCAGAATTTTGCTGTCACTGCGAAGGAACACATACATTAACCACCCCCATTCAAGGAGATCAGCAGCCGCAGGGTGGACTGGTGCAGCAAGCGAAAGATGGACAAGTTTTTCTAGGCGCATTCGTTTTGCTGTACAGCATGTACCTTTTTGGACCGTAGTGCTGATGAAACTGCTGCTTGATTCTTCTAGTACAGAATCTTTGAATTCCGGTGTGACTACCGTCATGCATTCTGAAACAGGCGAAGAAGAAAATTGAACAGGTATCATCGTTACAAACGTAGTTACGTGGCAGACCTCGTAAGACAGTGACGCATGTTAATTTGTGTGATGAGAAACTGTGATGCCAACCGTAATGCACCCGGCGACATCATTCCCATTCAGGGCAAAATATTCCGTCGCCAGATTTTTCCTCAGATTGTGATGCGTCAATTGCAATGTTAGCTGTAGGCGTATGCAGATGTCATCATTACCACCTATTTGATACGCTGTAGGGTAGTAATTTCACGTTATTTCTGAAACAACTCGCAGACAGAAGACACCTTTTTCTATTCACTCAAATTTATTCATCTTCATCAGGCTTTTTATCTGGTTTTCTCGATCACCATTGGCGTCACCAGGTCGTATACCGATCTATTACCGTAAGCAATATAAGCGGGAAGCTTTTCTTTTTTTTTACTTATATGGCTGCTACGCTTGCGTAGAGGAGTGGGAATGCGTGGAAGCCCACTCGGAACCGAACAGTGGAGTCCCAGCTTTAAACTATAGTAAAATTTAAATGTGGCTCAGTGTACGTGTTACCTCTTTCGATGGAGAGTGCTTAAATTTTACCGCAGCCCTTAAAGCGTGATGTTTACTGCTGCTGTCCCTACAATTACCTGCGTGGTGCCAGGTGGGTAGCATGGACCACCTATTTTACAGCGACCGCTGTTATGATACCACAACTCGGGTCTTGCACAGTTCCGTAGTTCCCACTGCCACCGCTGGTGCCCGTAACCATATCGTGCGATATTTAAAAAAAACCTAGTGCGGCTCAAACCCGGGTCTGCCGGATGCCAGTGCAGCCTTCTAACACTGAGCTACGCCGGTGCTTGGGACTTGTTGGCAAACTTGCCTTCGGCAGGCTTGATGTCGGCAAAGCAATCGCG